TAAGCTGTCTCCTGAATGGCCCCCACTGGGGATCGAGCCCGCAACCTGGGCATGTGCCCTGAGCGGGAATCGAATCGTGGACCTCCTGGTTCATAGGTCAACACTCAACCACTCAGCCACACCGGCCGGGCTTAAATTTATTGTTTTGAAGTAGAACTTTTAAGGAGCTCTCCCAAGAGAATTTGGTAGCTTATTTTTTACGAATGTATTTGTTTGAAGTATAAAAATGACATTGAAGATCATTTTCATTGAAGCTGACGGTGCCCCTTCTCTTTACCCAGTTTGTGCAAGGCAGGGAGATGATCTCATTTGGGACAAGCCTTCTTCTATTATTTATGTTCCTTTCTAAAGATAGCCGGTTGTTTTCCAGAATACTGCGTCTTTTAGGTGTAGGACTCCTTAAGAGAGGACTGAATCCTTCCTGATAGAGAAAAAGTTTGCTTTTTCCCGAGGCACCGTTCCTCCTTCATTGCGTACAGACTGGGCCCCCAGCAGCTTGGTTGTGCTTTGGGCTTGCTCAAGGTAATAGCTTACAAGTTACGTGTTGGTCAGAGATGCTATGTCCTCATCCTGTTTAAAAGCCTTCAGTGGTTCTCTCTACTTCGGAAATGTCTAAGCTTTTTGAAACGACATGTAAAGCCGCCATGTCTCCTGGCCCAGCTGCCTACCTCACCTCCCACCTCCCATTTCATCGATTTCACGACTGTTTCCTTCCCTGCACCATGCAGTTGCATGCATCCCTGCCCTTTTCCTTTGTTCTTATTCTTCCCTTTACCTGGCACATTGTCATGTCTCAACCACGCGGACTTCTTAGCCTTCAGCCTTGGTTAGAGCTCCTCAGAGCTTCCTGAGCTGCTCTGACTATATTTACTCTAGACTGAAATTTCCTCTCTAAATTTCTACCATCTCAGCCTGCAAGCCTCAAAAGATGGCACTCTCTTGTTATTCATCTTTGTACCTTTAGAACGTAAATGATTCCCTGGCATATAGTGGATGCTCAATAAATATTTAGTGACCTATACGGGAACAGAATGTTTAAATATGGAAAGTAAAACTTTTGTCGGATTTGGATTAACATCAACCAATACAAAGTCAGACTTTTGAAAAAGGCAGTTTTAAACTAGCCAGACAATGATCTTATCTTTAAAGTAGAATTTGATTTAGCCCACATAAAATTAATTACAATAACAATTTTAGAGTAGTATTTTTCAACAGTTAAGCCATTTAAATGGACAGACCTGGCTCTGTCTCTTCTATTGTCTCTCAAAAATAAATTTGAGATGCATATTGCCTCCATCACCATCACCACAGCACCCTGTTTAGAATCTCTCTCCCTCCAAGCCTCACCATTTTTTTCTGCTTACTTTAATTTTTCTTCCTTAGGCTATGCTTCTTAAGCAAAAGATTGGAAGATTGGTGCCCTCTAGGGGTAAACTGCAGGTGCAGCGCAGTACACACATTTTAGAGAACACTGCACAGTTCTGGGAGAATCGTATGAAATACAGAAAATGATGCTTCCTACTTCTTATGTAATTCACGTTATGTAACTTAATCCCACAGTATCTCACAGTGCTTTCACTTTGCTCATCTGCTCCTCTAGCACTATTTATTCAGACAGTTTTTTGTTCCACAGGGAGAAAATATCCAAAATGAGAAGAAAGGCTGTTTTATTAAAAATTGAAAACGGAAGGTTACGACTATTGGCAGTTAGTGTAGTCATTTTTGAAGGAAAGTTACCGGCCAGATGTCTGTGACTCAGACCCAGGACAAAATAAAAAGCTTTTCTGTTTCAGCTTAACTATTTAATTTCTTCTTTTCTTTCTCCCAAATTTCAGATATTTCTCCAGAACCCCATTTCCCCCCTCTCAGTTCATCCACTAGCACCCTTTCCCCATAATGTTGGTTTGTAATTTTTAAGTAACATTCTCTTTCATCTCATTCTTTTGTGGTGAGTAGAATGAACCAAGTTTTAAAAGGTCTTAGTGCAGGGTCAGGTACCTAGTATTAACTTATTGTGTGTTTATTTTTGTTTATTATTATTAATGATGGTGGCATTTGTTTTTATAGACTGATAAAGATGATAATGTCTTATATTTGTCTAGCCCAGTGGTCGGCAAACTGCGGCCCCTTAAGTGTGGCTCTTCCACAAAATACCACGTGCGGGCGCGCATGTACAGTCCGATCGAAACTTCGTGGCCACACTCAAGGGCCAAAGAGCCACATGTGGCTCGCGAGCCGCAGTTTGCCAACCACTGGTTTAGCCTTTTCATATACAGTATTTTTGTAGACGCTCAGAATAATCACCCGAGATAGGAAAAATAGGCAGTATCACATGACAAACAGCGCCTCAGAATTTTTTCAAGCATTACGATGTTAGTCTATTTCTGCACCCCTCCCAAATTATTTTTTAAAAACTTCTTTTATTGATTTCAGAGAGGAAGGGAGAGGAGGAGAGAGAGAAACATCAATGATGAGAGAGAATCATTGATCGCCTGCCTTATGCATGCCCCTACTGGGGATCGAGCCCGCAACCCTGGCCCGTGTGCCCTGCCCGGGAATCAAACCGTGACCTCCTGGTTCATAGGTCGAGGCTCAACCACTGAGCCACATCAGATGACTGGTCCCCTCCCAAATTCTCAAGAAATTAGGCCAAAGGCTTGAGAGCAGCTTTCCATTTTACATATTTTAAGTTGCCACATTACATTTTGAAAATATAACTTTTATTTTCAGATCATAGAATTTTTGTTTTCTAGTTTGAACAGAGGCCTTCTCTTTCCAAATTTTGATTTTGCAAATGAGAAAATTTAGGCCTAGATTATAGACAGCTGATACTAGTTTATGTGGCTCTGAAATGAAGGCCTCCTAACTCGTTTTGCCTCATAACATGTTTTCTCTTCTTCTAAGTTTTGATAGCATAATATTATTGTTTTTCTTTTATAAACATGCCTAATTTAATTTTTCTTTATTGTTCCATAAATATGGAGAAAAATGACACTTTGTTTTGGAAAGTTTCTCTGATGTAGGAGGTTTAGTTCAATCTGGCAAAGCAAGTTGTGAAATAGCCTTCCTGTGAAATAAGTGTTCAGAATCACACCCCGTCTTTCACTGTCCTGGAGTGAGAAAGACATAGGAAGTGGAATGAGGAGTGTCATGTGAGCCTCGCAGGACGTGGGTGGGATGGCATCGGCTACTTGTAGCAGATATCCCTACTTGGCAGACTGAACAGAGGTTTGGGGAAATCTTTGGTGGTTTGAGCTCTAAAATCACAAGCTTAAATCTGGCTTGTGGAAGAGAGGAAGAAGCTGAGGGTTAACTTTGTGGTAGTGATAATGGTCATGAAAACCCTCCACCACAAGATTTCTGTTGTGCAGAGGAAGGTTTGGACAGAGGTCTTCTAACCTTACATCTGTGAATTTTTAAAAAAACATTTTATTTTGAAATAATTATAGGTTCATGGAAGTTTTCAAGAATACTGCCCTTTATCCAGCTTACAGCTGTGGATTTTTTTTTTAATTAATCCTCACTAGAGGAGTGAGGATATTTTTCCCCATTGATGAGAGAGAGAGAGAGAGAGAGAGAGAGAGAGGGAGAGGGAGAGAAAAGAGAGAGAGAGACATAGATGTGACAGAGACACATCAGTTGGTTGCCTCCCATAAGCTCCCTGACTAGGGGTGGGGATCAGACCTGCAACCCAGGTACATGCCCTTGACTGGGAATTGAACCTGTGACTCTCAGGTGTGCAGATCGACACTCTTAACCACTGAGCCATGCTGGCCAAGGCCACCTGTGGATTTTTAATGTGTGGAGTGTGTGCTTCTGGTATGCAGATCTTGTGGCCAGAGAGTAGGAAGACCAACAGGGGGTAAAAGTTGCCTCTCTTATTAAGTTGGCTCCAGTTGCTGTATCAGGAGTCATGAAGATCAGGGTGTTGCCTCTATTTTTAAAAATTGTAACTCCATGTAATAGACCAGGCTTATATTTATATAGTGTGTTAAAACATGTAATAATTCTGCTTGTCTTTGTGGGTTATTAATCTGAAAATTACATTTTAAGTGTTTAGATTTTAAATTTAAATTTAGTATTTTAGTAAGAGAATAAAAATTTTAAAAAATCATTATATGAATGAGTACCATAGAAGAAATGTTTTCTACTTTGTCCTCTTCCTTGTTTGAGTATTAAGAATGATCCTGGGATCTAGGACCGAAAGTTAAATTGCTTTTCTCTGCGTAGGTCCGAAAGCACGTGAATGATCTCTATGAAGACTTAAGGGATGGACACAACTTGATCTCTCTTTTAGAGGTTCTTTCGGGAGACACCCTGGTAAGTTGTAAATTCCTTAATTTATTTTGAAGAACATATGCATATGACTGGGATGTTTTTGGCACAGACTGTTCAGATTTCTGTAATATTCATCTTTTTGAGCTGTAACTTCTGCCTGAAAAAAAAAAAGTTTTGGTTGGATTCCTAAGCATTTTCAGGTTTTGAATGATCTGACCTTGGGAGATTGAAGCACTTTGATCACCTTGCTTATATGCTCAGTTTTATAATCAAAATACTATTTTTGTTCTTGCTTTTCTTTTTTTGTTTACCTTTGGGTTGTTTTTGCTTAGCAGACGTTGTATGCATAATATAACCACACATTAAAAGACTCACAAATAGCCAGGAAATAAGCACTGCTTTCTGAAAAATGGTCTAACCCACTCCACAGGTGTCATTTCCTTTTTTTTGTGAACATGACTTCCCCGTTCTTGGTTACCTGTTCTCCTTCATTATGTTCTGTTCATGCTCTTCTTTTCATTTCTGGTCTGTCTTGTGTCTTTGCTGTCCTATCTTCTGTCTGTTATATTCATTAGCCAAGGGAGCGAGATTTTTTGAAGACCTTACGATTGGTGAGTGCAACAGAAGCATGCGAATATGAACAGCATGAGGATGTGGAGGATGAGGATAAGGGGGTAGGTGTCGGCCCCCATAACTCAACTAACCTAGCCTTACAGTGTGGTGAGCGCTAACGCGATAGACAAGTAACCCACGGGTTCGGGCTCCTTTGTAGAAAACGTTAGAAAGGACCAAAACCCACAATGAGTGGATGTGTGTGAACCAAGACATTGGACAAAGGAAATATTTTCTCTTTAAATTTATTTATAGATTACTGTGCAGTGCGTGGTAATCGAACATAAGCACTTAAGGGATAAGATGGCATTTTAGCTAAAGGATTTTATATAGTTATGGACATCTTGACAACTAGCCTGCTAATTTTTATGCAAAGTTACCCTATTTCTAGAATTTATATTTCAAACATTGCTTTATTTGAAAGAACTTCTGGATACTTATTTAATATTTAAGTTTATACTTTAAATCAGAGCTGTTGGCATTAGGTATTTAACGGACATTCTTTACCCTGCCACCTGTGTCTCATTTTATTTAGAAAGGGAGGTTTTAACAATCTAGAGTCCTGACAACTAACAGAGCTGATGACAATTAGTTGACCACAGTCCACCTTTGCAAGACCTATGTGCTTCTTTTGCCATCTACATCCCTAGTGCCCCCTGATTTCATTGGAAATTGTGCTTTTTTTTTTTTTAATCTAGTGGGTGAATTCACCAACATCATTCGTTCCTGTTGTATAGAACCCACTTTTCCATTCTGTAGTCTGCTGTCTTTTTTATTATGGGGCCTTGGCTTCAGCACCCTATTCATATTTGAGAAGCTAAGATCTCAGTTTTACTTTTTCCCCTTTGGAAGATTTGATGTGGCAAATTTCAGCTTCATTCTTTGTATTTTTGTTAAGCATTTTCCCAGCTCTGTTTCCTTATGTTTTCCTTTTGCCAACTTGCAGTGATTCTAAAGGGAAACAGTATCAAGGAAAAGAATTATGGGTTGTCAGCTTTCCTGAAGTGGAAAGCTATTATAGAGTCCTACGAATTTTGTGAAAAACACTAAAATAAAATAAAGAGGAAATATATTAAATGGTTTTAATTGCTTTTCTCCCTTCCTCTATCATGGCTAAGTAAAACTCCACTGTCTTTCTCCTTCTTGGTGATTTTTTAATACTAATTGCATGCTACTTTTCCTCATTTTCATTCACATGCCGTATATATATATTTATAAAAATCATTTTGATAATTGTTAGAATTCATTAAGAAGGGAAAATGGTATTTAATTCTTCTTGCGCAGCCATACCTTAATAACTATAGGCTAGAATTGTATTTTAGTGAATATAAAAAGTCTATACGTTCTATGGTATTTTCTCTTTTCCTTTGTTTAAATAAAGCATTTGGAATACAGAATATGTTTAAATAAAACATATTGGGAGAAATCGCTAGTAGTTTAAATTTAATCCCAAATAATACAAAAAAATTAGAACTGCCTTTAAAGAATTTAATGGGCTTAACCAAACAGTAAATACCGTTTTGACATATTAAGATAAGCATAATGTATATTTATGTAGTATGTTGTCATTGTTATAAAAAACTAGTGTTTTTCATACCCTGCATTTTTCTATTCTTAGCCCAGAGAAAAAGGTCGGATGCGTTTTCACAGACTACAGAATGTACAAATTGCACTTGATTATTTGAAAAGACGCCAGGTAAGATGTTTTTCAAAGACTGTAATCATCTTATATAATAAAAGCCTAATATGCTAAGTGTCCGACCTTTTGTTCCACCGTTAGACCAGTTGCTATGACTGATCTAGCAGGGGGCAGACACTCCAACCAGTAGGTTAGCTTGCTGCTGGGGTCTGGCAGATCCGGACTGGGTGAGAAGGGCTGGACACACCCTGGAGCCCTCCCGTGGCCCCTCCCTGGCCCCGATTGTGCACCAGTGGGGTCCCTCGGTCTGGCTTGCACCCTCTCGCAATCTAGGACCTCTCAGGGGATGTCCGTAGGCCTGGATGAAGGACCCTACTGGTGCACGGATTTGTGCACTGGGCCTCTAATATAACCATATGTGACTGAATTAATCTACATAGAACCATGTCAGGGAATGAAAAGGTTAAATTAGACTATGAATTGTAATCATTATACTTGTGCTTCTGTGAGACAAATATTCTAAAATATTTATAAACATTTGCTCCAAAGAAAAGAAAGTTAATAGTAGTTGTAAGCTTAGAGGAATTACAAGTGGCTACATTTCCATTTGAATAAGAGCTACTGATTTTCCTTCTGTCAGAATTTGAGTGCTTTTGCCTAGGAAGTTAATGACAAAATGTTAAGAATGTCTATGAAGTTTTTAGTAGTAGGGAGGCAATACCTTAATTTTTATACTTGTTTTATAAAACTATTTTTATAAAAAATAGTTCATAATATTTTAAAAATTAAGTATTTTTGATATTTAGTAGTGAAGAGGCAATGGTTTATTTTTTATAAGTAGATAATACTGGGTAATTTATAAGTAGTTAAAAGTAAAGCAACATTTCTGACAACAGTCTCCAACTGGCTTGAGGTTTTCAGAAAAACTCAAGGAAAAGATCAACACCATATTGGATGTGATCTTGATTTTGGTAGCATTGTGTATAATAATGGTGTAAACCAAGTAATTGGTAACTTTCAGTGAGTAGAAAAAAGGAGAAAAAGACATTCAGGAGAACTGAAAGTCACTGAAAACAGTAGGAACTTAGAAGTGGGAACAATTTTGTTCTTGATGGAGTAGGAGGAGGGGAGGGAGCGAGAGGGAAACACTATCTTTTATTAGTTCTTCATTTAGGTTATTATGAATGTGAAAATGCTCTTAGTTTTTAAATTCTACTAAATATTATGTGTTCAAATATTTTAAATGTTATTGGTACTTGTCTTATTGTTTTTAATTCCAGTGGGAGTTTCCAGAAGGATTAATGGTTAATTATAATCTCCTGGTATGAAATGTATTTGGCAGTATTTTGTCTGGGAAGTAAAATGTTACCTATCGTTGTATTTAATTTTTGGTATTCGATTCATGATATATAATTCTTTTGCATTCAGGAGGTAATACTAGATGTCATCATTGCATTAATTTACCTGAATGCATAATACGTCAGTTGATAAGCTTTAAGTCTCTTATATATATATATATATTTAAACAGCCTTACAAATATCCAGTCACTCATGGATTTACTTATCTTGGTAACAGTTTGTGAAAAAGAAATAGAAAAGTAATGCTAGTTTTTATTTAACCCTCTGTGAAGGAAGTGTGACAAAGTTTTAAAAATTATTTTATGGCTTAGAACTATTTCCTACTTAATTGTAAAATAAAGCTTATTTCCAAAAGACAAATGTCCAATTAAAAAAATCTCAAGTATCTAAGACTTCTCACTTGAGCTATATTTTTGTTTTAACAAATGAGTAGTTTTATTACTTGATCTAGAAGACAAAACCAAGATAATCACCACTTTTCTTTGTGGCTACTTTATAATTTGCATTCTAAAATGACTGAAGATAGGGGGTAAAACAGTATTTTGAAGATTACTGGTATTTAAATCATTCAGTTTTTTCCTTTGTATAATTTAACATCGCTTTTATAGATAAAGATAAATCATGTGATGGTTTGAAAAAGTTTTTTTTTTTTATCTCTTGTTCACATATAACACAGGTGAAGTTAGTGAATATTAGAAATGATGACATAACAGATGGGAATCCCAAGTTGACTTTGGGATTAATATGGACAATAATTTTGCACTTTCAGGTAAGCTTAATTTTTCTCGATTGTCATTTCTTTTAGCCTCTTATTGCTAGTTCCAAATGGTTCATTCACATCAAGGATGAATTATGCATTCACATCCCATGGAAGATAGTAAATTTTAGGCTTCTTTTCTTAAACAATATATTTGTATTATTTCTTTCAAGTAACTGCTTGTGAACCCGGTATCCCATTTCCTGTTGTTGATAACCTGAAATATGCTTAGGACAAAGCTTGCCATCTCAGAGTTGGACGACAAGATTCTTTTTAATTGAATGCAGACACATTTCTTTTGTTTATTGGAAAGTATTACGTGATTTAGATACATGAAAATTTTATTACTCAATCCTTAATATAGAATGGTTTTTGCTGGGGTCCAACCCCAGCAGGTCCAGGGTTCCCCAAAGGTGTGGATGGAGTCGGCGAAGAAGGAAAGACTCAGAGACAGCGTTCAGTTGATCAGCAGCCTAGCCAGGATCTCTAGTTAGGATCTCCAACCAAGTTCTGTGTCCATGTTCTCTTTGCTAGGTTCTCCAGGTTCTCTAGGTTCTGTAGCCAGGTTCTGTAGCCAGGTTCTGTAGCCATGTTCTCTCACTAGGTTCTCCAGCCAGGTTCGGTCGCCAGATTCTAGTCAGGTTCTTTTGCCATGTTCTACCCAGGTTCTGTCTCTAGGACCTTCAGCCAGGTTCTCTCGCTAGGTTCTGTCTCTAGGTTCTGTTGCCAGTTTCTGTCCAGGATCTTTTGCCATGTTCCGTCTCTAGGTTCTGTCTCTAGGTTCTGTCCTGGCACTTAGTTAGGGGGTTTTATTCCCTCCCTAACTTCAGGGAAAAATCCCTACCTGGGGAAACAACCTTTCTCAGAGAGGTGACCTTGGTTAAAACACATAGTGCCAAGAAGGTGAGCAAATATAATAAGAACAGTATGCCATATATGCCAGGTCCCTTGAAACAGCAAGGATGGACCGGCTCCCAAGCAGGTTTTCACTGGTATTATGGTTTCTCCACTCTGCAACATATTTTCTCTTATTGGTAGACACTAGATGGCAGTATAATTATGATAAAGCGATCTTCTGAAGTAGTATTCATGTTTTTATATAGTGCTACACTTTTTCAAACTAGATTTGGGGAGGGTAAATGCAAATACATAAAAATTTATTGGCAACGAATGATTATTTAATAAATCGAGAGCTGATTGTGAGTCTTAGTTTTTGTAAAAAGATACATTTTGAAAAAAGCCATCTTCATTTGAAAAGCCGAGTCCTAATTTTGGAATTTGCTTTTGCTTATTAATGCTGTGCCTGCCCACACAGTGTTCTGTGTGCAGCTCAGAGCCTGGCCCACAGTAGGCACGCGGCACATCTTACTGATGGGCTGTGCAGTGGTCCTTGAAAGAGGAGGAAATAGCCTGCCAGTTTCAGAAAGGAGCTGGGGTTTTGAGCCAGATTTTGAGAGGAGTTAGATTTACTTCTTATATTTTGAAAATCGACTAGGACACAGGATTTGTAGGGGAATGGTGGAAAATCATGTACCTGGGGCTCATTTGGGAACAGGAAAATTCTGACAGGTATGGGGAGCTACAGGAAGTAAAGTCTAGGTAGGTTCCAGCTTCTGAACAGGCAGCTGAGAGAAGTTGCAGCAACCAGAAATCAGAGGCTCAGACTCAGGTACCAGGAGACCCAGGGAACCAGGGGTCAGGCAGCCAGACTGCAGGGCAGCTAACATAGGTGAATGTCCACTCACCTGGGCATTGATGTCTGGGAGACCCAGTAACAGGAACTGGAGGCAGGACCCTGAAGGCCTGTGGGCTTCTATTTCTAGGGGACCCCATCCTCAGGGGACCCAGGGGACTGAGCCATAAACCAAGGCAGAGATTTGGGCATGGAGCCAGACCTTGTTACCAGAATTGGGTAAAGACTAAGAAGAACTGGCCAAAAGCTGATTTCACATGGATTTCCTCGGCAGCTTTCTCGGGGCGTCTTTAATCATCCCCGAGTGGATCAGGTTCCTCGACTTTAAGTCGGGTTGAAACTGCAAGAACCCCACTTTGGAGGGTTAGAGGCCTATTGGGACAGGGAGCCAATCACATCATTACCGACGGAGCTGGTGAGACAGGTTGTGCTTTGAATGTTGGAATGAGAATCCCTGTGGGGCAGTGAAGAAACACTCAGGTTTTGGGGGGAGGCAGAGTTAAGTTTCATTGTTGGCTCATTTATTTATGGCTATGACAGCATTGAAGAAGCCATTTAATCACTCTGCACCTGAAAAATAATTTTTTTTAGGAAACTCAGCCTATCAATTCTATGTAAAATAAGTTGAAATGAGCAGAGTCCATAATGAGGGAGATAATCTAAGAAGCTGAGATGGTGATTTCTGAATGGAGTGATAAAGGCCAAGACTCAGGTGGGGATGGAAAATGGACCCCAAAAGATGGCATTTTAAAGGAAGAAAGAAAGGGACTTGGTGATATGAATAATGGATGAAGGAGAGGGAATAAAGATTACTCTAAACTTACAGCCTGGGAGATAAAAACCAACTGATGCCAACCAACCTACAAACAAAAAGCAAACTATTGAGAGAAATGGGGGTGATGGTAAGGGGAAAACTCAAGACCTTGGCGGGTTCGATGGCATGGTGGGGTATCCTTTCCTTTTGTCTGCTGAGAGGTTGGAGATTTGTGAGCAGAGCAGAGCAGAGCTGAGAAGTCAAAGGCACAGATAGACTTGGGAGTTACCAGTACAGAAGTAGCCAATGAATCGACCCAAGTCGAGGGGTCTTTAGGGGACCTAAGAGATGGCATACATGGAGAAGAGCCAAGAGCAAAGGACAGACATTTGGGGGAAGGCCCATGATGGGGGTGAGGGAGGAAGAAGATCTGTTTGGGGAAACAAAAAAGGAATGTTTGATGAAATGGGTGAAGCAACAAGGAAATGTAGTGATGAAATCAAGGGAAGATATTTTCAGGTAGAGAGGAATAGTGAACAGAATGAAATGCTACTAGAGAGCTTGAGAACTTTAAGACTGATAATTTTAGTCCAGGCTGGTTTGGCTCAGTGGATAGAGGATTGGCCCACAGACTGAAGAGTCCCGGATTTGATTCCACTTAAGTTCAGTTCCCAGCCCGGGTTGGGGTGCGTGCAGGAGGCAACCAATCGATATGTCTCACATCGTTTCTCTCTCTCTGTCTCTCTCCTTCGCTACCACTCTTTCTAAAAATCAATGGAAAAATATCCTTGAGTGAGGTTAACTACCAACAACAACAACAATAAACAAAAACACACACACCCCCCCAAGTGTGTTTAATTACCAGTAAACCAAGAAATACAGTTGGAGAAGGATGAGACTCCTTACATTAGATCATTAGAGGTTAACACATGAGGTGAGCATAGTTTGGAAAATTCCCTCATGCATTGCTGTGGATGTGCAAATCCACACAACTTCTCTCTCACACAAAGTGACTGGGCTTTTTTCCCCCTCTCTCTCTATACTTTACATAAATAAGGGAAGTAATTTCAGAAGACAAGTTTATTTATTTCTAAACTATCTGTTATAAGCACCATAAATTGAATCTCTTTTCTAATCAGGCTATTTGAAGGCAAGTATGGCCAACACAGTAATCCTATATCACTAGCCACTATAGGCTAGATCCAGAGATACTAAGATAAGGAATTGTGTTGTTCTATCTATTGGGAGAATGTTCATAAAACTATAATCTAGGGTGATGAATCTATTGTGATAGAAATAAAAATAGGGGTGTAGAGAAGGAGTGTTGTAGTAGGATCAGGAAGGTTTAGAGAATAAGGGAAATTTTCACTGATATTAGAGATTGTCTTTGCAAGATGATTGCCAGCTACCAGGCAGAGAGTGAGGTTGGGTGTTTCTGAGAGAGAGTGGACAGTTGCCCAGTGTGGCAGGGCTGGAGGCAGGGTGGGTGGTATGCAGATCACTGGCTGTGCCTCTATTGTACCAGTACAGATAACAGTCATTCCACTGTTTAAAAAAAATTATGTTTTTATTGATTTTAGAGAGAGGAAGGGAGAGGGAGAGAGAGATAGAAACACTGATGAGAGAGAAACATCATTGATCAGCTGCCTCCTGCATGCCCCCTACCGAGGATTAAGCCCATAACCCAGGCATGTGCCCTGACCAGGAATTGAACCAGTGACCTCTTGGTGCCTAGGATGATGCTCAACCAACTGAGCCACATTGGCTGGACAAGTTGTTCCACTTTTAAATTATCTTGAATGATGTTTTATTGCCATCAAGATTGCAAATCAAGTTAAAAATGAGCAAACACACCAGAAGCTTTATTTTTGCCAGCTTGTTTTCTAGGATATTCAGTTTTTGCCATTGAAGATTGTTTACTTTTCTCTTTAAATGATTAAGGAGAAGTTCACCATGCAGGCCTATTATTGACAAATATCAACAACATTGCTAACTCAGCTGCTTAATTATATTCTTACTAGAGGCCCGGTGCATGACGTTTGTGCACTGGGGTGAGGGTCCCTCAGCCCAGCTTGCACCCTGTTGCAGTCCGGGACCACTCGGGGGATGTTTGCCTTCCGGCTTAGGCCTGCTCCCCGTGGTTTAGGCCTGCTCCCCAGGGAGTTGGACATCCCCCAAGGGGTCCTTAGTGCTGCAGCGGAGGCGGGAGAGGCTCCCGTCACCACCACTGTGCTTGCCAGCCGTGAGCCCAGCTTCTGGCTGGGTGATGCTCCCCTTGTGGGAGTGCACTGACCACCAGGGGGCAGCTCCTGCATTGAGTGTCTGTCCCCTGGTGGTCAGTGTGCGTCATAGCAACCAGTCGTTCTGCTGTTCAGTCAATTTGCATATTAGGGTTTTATTATATAGGATTTTAAAAAACATAATGAGTTTCATCTTGTTTTAAATTTTTTTATTGAATTTATTGGGGTGACATTGGTTAATAACATTATATAGGTTTCAGGTGTACAATTCTATAATAACTTCATCTGAATATTGTATTGTGTGTTCACCACCCAAGTCAAGTCT